GGACTAGAACTCACCGTCTCCTGGTGATTGGCCCAAAGTCACCCAGCTGGCTTTCAGGCCTAAAGCGGGACTAGAACTCACCGTCTCCTGGTGATTGGCCCAAAGTCACCCAGCCGGCTTTCAGGCCTAAGGCAGGACAAGAACTCCCAGTCTCCCGGTGGTTATCCCAAAGCCAACCAGCAGGTTTCCATGAGCTAAGGCAGGACTAGAACTCACCACTCCCAGTTTCTACCCTGCTGCTTGAACCACTAGGCCCAACTAGCTCTTTAAGTGCCTGTGCTTGTAATAGATGCCGTTGAGACCCAGGGAACAATCCCAGTGCATCTTTTAAAACAGGCAGGCTGGGCGGGCCCTTTGCCAGCCCTTCCGAGGGGCGCCGTGAAACCCCTTCCTCAATTCCCCCGCCCTGCTCTGCACCCCCTACCCACCTGGCCGCTACGATAAGACCTACATTTGCCTGGTTTCTATTTTGCTTTTCTTGGCCCGGAGCAGAGAACAATGGGCCTGAGAGCACGCCAGGAAATAAATTCTAATTCAAGGCATGAAAATATTGCCAAAGGCAGCCGTGGGAGCCAGAAATCATCATCATAAAAATAATAAAGCATTTTCAAAACGGAGGAAAGGCCAAGTAGGAAGTCCAAGGGGGGTGGGCGGTGCAGGGTGACCCACTGGGCTCTTCCCAAACTTGGCAAAAGCCAGGATAAGAAAAAAAAAAAAACACCAGACCCAACGTCTAACCCCAACACAGGAAATAACCAGGTTAAAAGAGAAATGGCATGAAAGGCTGGAAATTTTCCACCCTGTTGTTTACTCCTCCCTGATTTAATTAACTAACCAGACACCATCCCACCATGGGCTCCTGGCTGAGTGGTTTATACTGGCAGTTCTCGATTTACGGCTGTTCGTTTAGGGACCGGTCAGCACTGCAAAAAAAAAAAAAAAAAAGCGACTTATACAGCCGTTTTTTTTTTTTACACTTTATGGCCTTTGCAGCATTTCTCCCTGGGGTTCCGCCAGGGGTGGGATTCTAACCGGATTGGAGCGGTTTTATAGAACCGGTTGTTATGATTCTGCGCAGTTCGGAGAACTGGCAAATCGTGTCCCCTGGCCGGCCCTGCCCTTTTCCGTCCAACCCAACCCTCCCAATCAGCCTTATCGTGCATGCACAACTTAACACGCATGCCCAACATCGCTGATTGCGTTCTTCCCTGCCCAGTCACTCCTTAAGGTATTTCCCCCCCTCTCCCAATGATCAGCTGTTCCGACGATCAGCTGTACCGATGATCAGCTGCGCTGGGGTCCCCCTCGCTGTCTTACTGCCTCACCCAGGAGGCTGCCCTGAGGCCCAGAAGGCAAAAGAATTGAGGAGGGAGGAGGAAGAAGAGGAAGAGGAGGAGGAAAAGGAGGAAGAAGAGGAAGAGAAAGAGGAGGAAGAAGAAGAGGAGGAAGAGGAAGAGGAAGAGGAGGAGGAGGAGGAGGAGGAGGAGGAGGAAGAAGAAGAAGAAGAAGAAGAAGAAGAAGAAGAAGAAGAAGAAGAAGAAGAAGAAGAAGAAGAAGAAGAAAGGAGGAGGGGAAGAAGAGAAGGAGGAGGGGAAGAAGAAGGGGAAGAAGAGGAAGAGGAAGAAGAAAAAGAGGAGGAGGAAGAGGAAGAAGAAGAGGAGGAGGAGGAAGAGGAAGAAGACGCACCCACCCAATCATATGGCTATGCCCACTAGCCACTTCCACAGAACCGGCTGTTAAAATTTTGGAATCCCACCCCCTGGGGTCCTGCGATCAGAATTCAGAGGCTTGGCAACTGGCATATACTTGTGACGGTTCGCGCAATTTCCCCTTTTGTGTCCTTCTGATGAGCCAAGTCAATGGTGGGGGGAGGAAGCTGGATTCGCTTAACGACTGTGTGACTAACTTAACAACGGTGGCGATTTGTGTAAGAGTGGTGGCGAGAGAGGTCATAAAATGGAGTAAAATCCATTTAACAACGGCCTTGGCTGCTTTGCCACAGGAACTTTGGGGTCCTTTGCGGTCGTAAATTGAGGACTACCTGGATTTAGGAACAAGTTAGAAAAATTGTGAATCGATCTTGGTTTATGCCCGTCCCATCTCTGTTCATTTCCCCCCCCCCCTAATTTAGAAAACACATTTTGATTGGGTCAGATTAAGACTTATTGGCTGCATTTGGAACACCATGCTAAATTTGGTTCTTTTTGATCATAATTCACTTTTCCCCCTAATTTAATCCAGTGTTTCTCAATCTCAGCTTGTTAGGACTTCAACTCCCAGAATTCTTAAAGTTGCTGGGCTGGCTGGGGAATTCTGGGAGTTGAAGTCCAGCCAGTTTACTGGACCAGCTGGGACATTCTGGGAGTTGAAGTGCACACCGTTTAAAGCTTCTAGGCTGGCTGGGGAATTCTGGGAGCTGAAGTCCACCCATTTTACTGGAATGGCTGGGGCATTCTGGGAGTTGAAGTCCATGGAGTTTACTTGACTGGCTGGGGAATTCTGGGAGTTGAAGTCCACACTGCTTAAAGCTTCTAGGCTGGCTGGGGAATTCTGGGAGTTGAAGTCCACACTGCTTAAAGCTACAGAGACTGGAAAAGAGACTGGTTATGTGTTATGTTAGTTAATGCCAGTGTCAGAACTCAGAAAACAGCTTAGTTCAATAAACCAGGCTCAGGGTGTTGTGTGAATACAATATTTGGTTGCTCTTTCACTCAGTGCAAATTGAAACTATTTATTTTTCTCTCACAAAAATCATAAACATTAGTCAAATATTGCTCGATTAAAGTGATCTTTAGTCAGGTAAACATATAGCAGTTAAACATACATACGTAAATATACTCATATAAATGTGGGCAAAGCAAACAGGAAGGTTTCCTTCTGTGTGTGATTCCACCATAGTACTCAGATAGCCTGCCTTTCTCCATGGAGGTTTTACTAAGCAAGGCTCAAAAAAGGATTCATTTGACCCACCTTTAAAATCATTGGAAGGAATCTAGAACAGATCCCAAGTCAAGCAGGCCTTAGGCAGTTCACCTTTCTCCAGACTAGTAGCCTCCAGGTAGGCAAAATTACAACTCTCAGCATTTACTAGGGGTAGCAAAGCGAAGAGTGGCTTTTGAAATAGGAAAATACATTTTATTAACATTGGAATAACATGCAACTTTGATACTCATATACTTAATTTTTAACAACACACATCCGGTTTGCTTTCCACCTAATCTTCTTCGAAGCTGTTTTGCAATTTTACAATTAGTTTACAATTATTAGTCAGAGGGGAAAAAACTCTTGCAAGGTTTTATTATACTTGGAATCGAGGCAAAGGGAATATGAGTGATTTTAGCCAGTTTCAGCTTCTTCCTTGAAGTTTGTTTGGTGTTCGAGCTAGATCTGCAGCCTTCACTCATCATCTTGAGTTGATGCCACCCTGATGGGACTCCATAACATCAGCAGAAAACTAGCAGCTTCAAAGACATGATGGAATAGACTTCATCTTCAGTTGTTTGTTTCTGGAAGCTGACCGACTCAAGATTGGCAGAGAAGAACATCAGTTGTCGAGTGGACAATACATCTTCAGTTGCTTGTTTTTAGAAGCTGACCATTCCAAGATTGGTGGAGAAGAACATCAGTGGACGAGTGGACAATACATCTTCAGTTGCTTCCTTCTGGAAGCTGACCATCCCAAGATTGGCAAAGAAGAACATCAGATGATGGAGAAAGAGGTTGGTGAGGGAGAATATTTTAGGTTCAGTTGGACAAGCAAGTTCATGAGAAGAAAAATGACAGGAAAGGTCTAAGAGATCATGGGAATGGCTTTAATTCCAGATTCATTTTCCTGAAGATTCACGAAAACCGGCTTTCACTCCAGATCAATTTTAACGAAGGGTCATAGGAAGTGCCTTGTCCTTTACTTAGTCTCCTTGAGCTGAGATTCAAACCGGACCATCTCCTGAGCTTTGTGGACACGGTCCTGAATGTACTGGTGGGCCTCGTCATCGTCAGCTTCCTCATGACTCGTTTCAGACGTATACATCAGATCATGATCAGAGATGCCAAACATCTCCAAGGAGTAGAGGTAGGCGATGTGTTCGTCTAAGATGGCATCTGAGTTCCTTTGGGTTCCATGCAAGGACTGCAGTTGAAGTTGAGTCAACGACTGACTCGTGTCGGTCAGAACAAAGAGCTCCCTCAACTCCTGCTTGGTAAAATAGCGATAGGGGTTCTTCTTATCTCCCGTGCTTTGCCTGATTAGCGAGTCCTTGAAGACCTGACGCCGGTAGATTTTCTCCTCAACCGTCCCACACGTGATCAGACGGTAGATCACGACGTTCTCCTTTTGCCCGATCCTATAAATGCGGTCTACGGCTTGCATGTCCGTGGCCGGATTCCAACTCGGATCGAAGATCACCACTCGAGTGGCGGCCGTCAAAGTCAGGCCCACGCCCCCGACTTGTGTGGTCAGGAGGAAGACTGAGTAGCTTCGGTCCTTCTGGAAGTCCCTCACCCTCTTCTCGCGCTCCAACAAACACGTGACGGTGCCATCGATGCGCATGAACTTGATGTGCCGTTGAGTCAGGATGCCTTCAATGATGTCCAACATTTTCCTCGACAAGGAAAACACTAGAGTTTTGTGGCCTTCTTCCCGAAGCTTCTCCAACAAGGCAATGAGGAACGTCAACTTCCCGGATTCTTGAATCAGAACCTTCTCAGATACATTTTGGATCTCCTGCGTCAGGCCCACCGAGTCTTCTCCGTCCTCTTGGCTTGGGTTTTCCAAACCAAGCTGGAGACAAGCTTGAGAAGACAACAGCCGGGGGTGGTCGCAGAGTTTCTTCAGGAGGGTCAGCTCTGCCAACGGAGAACGCGTGGTCATCAGAACTTCTTTAATGTGATCCAAGGAAAGGAAGTTCCTGTAGATTTCTTCCTGTATGCGTGATAAGTAGACCCAGACAATAAAGTCATTTTTTCTCGGAAGAGAAGGGACTTCAAGGGTATTCGGACAGGGCGATCCCATTGGTTGGTCCGATCTCAGCTTCTGGATTTCGTCCTTACTTCTCCTCAAGAAATGAGGCTGTATGAGGGACATCAAGTTCTCCGCGATCTTGAGGCCCAGAGCTTTCTCCCCCAAGGTCGCGTCCTTCTCCCTCGCTCTGGTGATTGGGTTCTCGTACTCCATCTTGAACGTTTTGGCTGTGCCAAGGAGGCTGCCCTGACAGGCAAAATCAAACAGAGACCACAACTCTTGCAGGTTATTCTGTACGGGGGTCCCCGTGAGGAGGACGCGGTTCCTCGCCGGGATGGCGCCGAGGGCTTTCGTGGTCTTCGCCGAGGGGCTCTTAATTTTATGAGCTTCATCTAAAATCAGGTAGTCCCAGACGAAGGCTTGCTGGTCACAGCTGGACAGCTGTTCCCAGTTGGCCAGGATCATCTGGTAGGAAGTCAAAAGGACTCCCTTTCCGGTTTGGATCTGGTGCAAATGTTGCCTGCGTTCTTTCTTGCTCGTCCCGTGGAAAACCTTCACGCGGATTCCCGGCGCCCACTTGGCAAACTCTTGCTTCCAGTTATTCACCAGCGTGACAGGCATCACCAACAAGACAGAATGGACCAGTTGGGCGTCGAACATCCCCGAAAGAAAAGCGATGATCTGGATGGTCTTCCCCAAACCCATGTCGTCAGCTAAAATGCCCCCCTTGCGCCCTTCACGGTAGAGGCGGTACAAGAACGCGACGCCGTGCTTCTGGTGTTCGAAAAGCCGGTCGTGCATCTCGCGGTAAAGCCGGAGCCCACTCTGAGCCACGTCGACACTTTCGTCCGATGCCTCTTCCTCATCCAAGGCCAGGGTGTCCAACTTCTCCTCCACCTGTCCTAGACCACTGGTGAGATCTTCGCCGAGGTCCATCTCCGGCTGCGTCTCCTCGTGACCGGGGGTGGGTTTCTTCGCTGACCCTTTCGGGATCTTCTGATCCTCTTGGGATCCCTTTCTGCAAAACACAATTTTCTTGAGAAATAGCAACAGACGGGAAAACGGCCAACAAAAAAAAAAAAAGGTAGAGGAAAATTTTCTCCTCAAAATCCTCGAGGGGAATAGAGTTGGAAGGGGCCTTGGAGGTCTTCTAGCCCAACCCCCTACTGAAGCAAGAGACCCCTATACCTGTGATGGAAAACCTATGGCACGCATGCCGGAAGTGGCACGCAGAGCCATGACTGCCGGCATGCTAGCCCTCGGTCCAGAGCAGGCCTACTGCGCATGTGTGTGTGCCGCCCACCCAACTGCGTGCACAGAATTGCGTGGTGCATGGGGGTGGTGGTGGTGTCGTGTGTGCATTGCCTTCTGGGTGCTGGCACAGGAGCCCAAAAAGCCACCACTGCCCTATCCTATTTCAGACAGGTAGCTGTCTAATGATCACCTTTTTACCAACCCCATCATCCCTTGAGGGGTGGAGTCTGGGCCACTGAATGGAGCTAGCAGAGTGTTTAATGG